AGCTTAGAAACTGAAAAGTTCAAGCATATATTTCTTAATAACTAAATTCCACAGCTTCACTACTAGTAGAGAGACACTGCCAGGTAGAATTAATTCACACACGCAATCGCTCTCACTAATGCATTCATATTAATGTAATTTTTACTGTGCTACTTTATCTGTATCTGATTTAGAACGAGCAGAAATCTGTGAGAAATATAACGACCCAAAGACAAAATAACTGATAAAAATGAGCTGTTATAGTAGCAATAGCCATGTGGGCAGTGCTGTGTCATATGCCATAGCTGTGCACAAGGTGTTTATCACAGCTCCAGACTTATTTGTTCATTAATGACGTCATCAGCGACTAGTCGACTTTGACTCGACTTTCATCACATAAAAGTCGACTTCAAAAAATCAAAAGTCGTTCAACCCCTACTTTAGATAGAAGTATTTTTTACAAATAAATAAATATTTAATAAAAATATAATTAAAAAGGAAGTAAACTGTAACCAACAGAGCACTTGGTATTCTGCGAAGTTTGTGTGCATTGGGAATCATATTTTTTCAAATAAAGCCAAGGTAACACTCATTTTACATACAGCACACAGTGAATATGACAGTGGGCAAATGCATAAAGCGCAGCATAATTTGAAATCATGCAGGTCACATGCACACTTCACAAGATCTCACAACTGGATTCGACTAAGTTTGCAAGGTTTGTGAAATTTAATTTTCATTAGCCATTCAAAGATTTGTTTAAATGATGTAAATGCGTATTTGCTGAATGCTGACGGCAAACGAGAAAGTATTATAATGTTTACCTTTCTATTACTAATAATATAAAAGCAATCGTTATAATACTCTTTGTATACATTTTAATTCCTTTGTTTAACAGTTATATCGGATTATTAGACAGACTTCTATCCATATTAGACAGAACTGTTAACGACGACGGCGAACAAGAGGGAGAATGTGAGCACTGTGTGCTCAGGCGCTGCCGCTCTCAGCGCCGTCAAAATATAAGTCCGGCGCGCCGTCAAAATAAAAGTCCCGCCTCGATCGCATCTGCCAAACAGAAAAACGTATCGGCCAATGCCGATATTTGAAAAATGCCAAATATCGGCCAATATATCGGCCTTGGCGATATATCGGTCGACCACTAATTAGGACTCAAATAACTTTTGGGTGTTAAAATGCTTTCATCCTAATTCAGTTTACTATGAAAAGACAGCTACATGCCACTTCATTTCAACTTTGAAACAAAAATTTTCACACCAAGTAAATTTTTTCACCTAGTTTTTAAGTGCAATTCTTTTTTATGTTTGCAAATATTTTATACTTTAGTTTCGCTTATACTTTAGTATATTTTATACTTTAGTCACACAAAAGTGTAACAAATCAGGTATTCAACTTTATTTAAATGTTAAACATTATGTATTTGATTTGGATTCAGTGAAATGTTTTATATTTTATTTTCATTTATTCACACAAAAATGTTAAACGCTTTTTCAAAATGTTAAAAATTCTGCATTGGATTTGGATTGGATTCTGATTGGATTGTGAATTGGACTGACACTTTTGTTTTGTTTGCGAATATTTCATACTATTGTCACAATTTAGTCACCCAACCTTTTTCAAAGAATGAAATTAAATGAATGAAAATTCCACGCAGGACTTTTTTGTCTTGGACATTTTGTTAGCAAAATATTTTGTTTTCTTGACGTGTAGTTACATCAGGCTTGGGGTGAACAGTTAAACGAGTAAAGACAAATCAAATAACATGTTTCTCTCATGGGGGCTTTGGATTTCTGTCCTTTCCCCTTTTTCCTTTGCTTCTTATTTCTCTTCAGAGTTAAGGCATGAGAAAGCAGCTGACTTAAGAATCACACTTGTTTTTGCCGGCCACAGAAGGAATGGCGAGGTCAAGGCTCTCCACATCTGGAATTTGTTTTGGGGTAGTTTCAGAGTAAGCCATCCCTGCACTGGAGCAGGGGACGGTACTAAAGAAAAAAATCTGAAAATCCTCCTTTAATAAACTTGCTACTCAATAAGAAATAGTGGGCGTAAGGAAATGACATTGCATAAGATGAAAGCTTGATGAACAAGCTTTGGGGTAAATACCGTGAGATTTGAATACGGTTCATTCAATACAATATTATATACCTGAACTTCCAATTCCAATATTCTCCATATAAGGTATTCATAGAGAGTTTCTCATCAAGAGATCTTCTGAAACATCCTTCGTTGAGGCTCATGCTTACCACTCCAGCACCTGTACTATGATCAATGCTATAAGAAACCCTACAAAGCCCAGGCTGACAGGCCCATACAGCAATAACGAGTCCGTACTGGAACAACAAAGCCTCCGTATTCGGATTCCCAATTCTGCGTGAATCTCACAGTAAACACATGGTCCGCTGAGACCAAGAGGGGATTTCTGCTCTGGTTGTCTGCTGGCAGGTGTTCTGTGGGAGCCTGAGAGACCAGCGAAGCCTTTCCCAGTAAAGACGTGACCCGGCCGACATGCAGATGGTCCCTGGGTTGACCGTTTAACTAGAATTCTGGGTGGGAATTGTGAGAAGAGGGGAAAAAGAAACAGGAATGGAAGGACAGAGGATAAAGCGAGAGAGAGTGACGGAAGGACAGAGAAAAGGAGGGACTACCCCCACTGTCCCACCTGAATAAACAGACAGAGGGTATGGATTAGGACGAGTGCTGTGCTCACTGCCCTACAGGATGTTTCTGTGACTAACAGAGCACTGAGACTCCGCTGAGTAGCAGGTCAGCAGCTGGTGACCTTCACCAGGCAAAAAAAACATGCTGACGTTAACAAGAGAAGCGGCCCACACTCATGCATTGGCCATGAATAC